AAATCTGAGGTTTCACTTTCAAATCTGAGGTGCTTTTCTTTTTGAAGCTCTGTCTCAGCTTTCTACAACTTCAGTTCAGCCAAACGCATTTCAAACTCATGTTTAATGTTGAGGTGGAAAATTTGGTCTTCATATTTCATTTGTAGGGTAATGAGTTCCTTCTGGTGTTTCTCTTTGGTGTGGCAGCAGGTGGACCTCATCTGCGCTTGGATTTTGTCTTCAGCTTGCTGAAGTTTGTCCTTCAGCTCCATAATTTCCTGCTGCAAAGCCTCATTTTCTTGGCTCAGGACCTTGTTGAACCTTTGGAAGACGTTAGAAGGTTGATTGGCTCCAATATTCTCCATTGTCTTATTTTTAACAAGGTGCTGCTAAGTGAAACTGTTCTCTCAAGTAGTTCGCTAAAGAATGCGTCTGGACTGTGCACTAGACTAGGCTTCTAGAATTATTTATAGAATTCTAGAAGCCCACCTACATCATAGACTGATGATGTCATCAGCATGGAAACAGTCACTGATCCCAGATCAGCCTGTCCACTGAATGGAACCTTGGTCACATGACTGCAAGATAGCTAAAGATACAGGTGGACTGGGCAAATGGCATAGAACAAAGGTTCCACTTTTATACGTGACTAAGGACAACTTTAGCAGAGGTATTAGTTTTGATTGAACATAATAAAAAACGAACCCACTTCTATTCTAAAGCAAAGTGACAGATGATGAAATACAAAAAATATTCAAACATGAAAAGCATTTTAAATTGACAAACAAGTTATAGCAACAAAATATTTTTAATATCCACAAAAGAATAAATAATCAAGTGGGAATGCATAAGTATTCAACCAATTTCAACAATTTTGGTATCAAAACGTTCAGCTTGTTCAGGAGAATTCTGTTATGTCTTTTGGTAAAGATATTTTTTGTTTTTTTTCTCGATATTCAGCTTTTTCTGCGTTTTTTTTTTGTCCTATTGAAATGCATATAGAATTCTTAGATTTTAGCAAAATTCAGCTAAAACTTCACAAGCTTTGACCTTTAACTGCTTCAGCATACTTTCAACTATAAACACCATTCAACTTTTAAAATGTTTCTGTATCTTTCTGCAATTACTGTTTAACTCAGCTTTTTGCTAACTTTTACAGGTTTGCTTCAGTGAAGCTTCAAACTTTTAAAGAATTTTTACAGATTTTCAGATTTATACTGGAAGTCTATGGACGGAACTTTCAGCTGCTAGAGTGTGGTCACTCTAGGGTTTTCAAACATTTCACTCATGCCGAACAGCTTCAGCTCACTCGCTCATTTTTTACTCTATCTAGAAAACTTATGCATCAAAACGTAAGTATTTTTGTCAGGATTCAGAAAATGT